CAGATATCTTGATGGGCGTGGGTATAACAGGATGATGTGATGCTGGCCGGGGAGGGACTGTTGGGACCTTGAAATGCGTTATAAAGCTCAACAAAACGCTCGAAATAGCTCTAAGGGTGCTATTTGTGGTTGTAAATACAATTGTCGGTAGCACCTGCCCGGCATGACAAGCATGCGAAAGGCTTTGCATGCATTATCCAGACCAAACCCCATAAGCTGGGCTTGTTGCAGGGTTTATTGACGTGTTTTGCCAATGTATCCAGCACATTTGAGGCTCCTAAGTTATGATTTTGCTCCACTTGAGCTTCTCTAATACGTCAAAGTGTTGCTTGTGATTTGTCAAAAAAGTACATGTGAGCTAACAAATGGTCAGCCTTCGCAGAGAACTGTGTTCAAAGCCGTTTTTGATGGCTTTTCTCTCAATTAGGCAAAAATGGGATCCAAATTGTGCTGATGATGCTGCCGTAGGGGTGTGGGTGCGCGAAGGGCCCCCGACGCCAGCATCGTCAGCACAATTGAGATCCCATTTTGGCTCGGCTTGAACTAAACTAGAGTGAACAAGACTCTCAAAACATTAGAACGATCCAGAACATCATTTCTGCAGACAATCTTCCCGATCAGTAGCAGCAAATCTGGGGTGGGCTTGGTTTTCACATCATGGCTGGGTGGGCGGGGAGCCGGCGGCCAGGCCGGCACTTGCCGACAAGCCCGGGATACAGTACCTGCCATTCTCCCAGCCTTCAGAAAAATCGCATCTGAACCGAACTGCCAGTGTATGACTGTCTTCATCGCGGTTTCTCATGCCATGCTGCTTCTGACCTCTTGCTGATTCTTGTTGTGACTCTTCTGTTTGCTCTGCTGGGGATGAGGCGCTTCCTTCTGTTCATCGTAGCCCTCGGCTCCCAGCCGTCATCCGTCACGGCGATTGCCGCCGAGGGCGTAGTGCTGATGCAGTCGAGGCACGCCTGTCCTCAAGTTCAAAGGTTAAGGACTGTTAAGGACAAACCCAAGCGAGGTCCTCAGTTCCTGCTACTCTGAGGCTCCGGGGCTCGAAGACCACAGAGACCTCCGGGGAGACGTCCATAACTTTCGAGGATGCCGACACCTCCAGGGAGCCCCTCAGAAGGAAGATCGCTGCCAGCCCACCTGGCTCAACCATGTCTTGTCCTCGCCAAGGAGCTCCCTTGAGGAAGCGCTCGGCGCTCGCGTGGGGCTTGGTGGGCTCAGGCAAAGGCAGCGAGAGGTATAGCATGATGATTTCATGCAGCAAGGCGTGCCTATGATGATATCCTCGTTTTTGTCACAGAGAACTCTTCTGAGAAATGTGGTAAGTCTCTTGCAAGAAACAGGTTCTACCGGCCAATGAAATTCGCTACTCAACCTGAGGTTACAGCGATGACGATGAGTCTTGCTCAGCCGAAGGCCTCACAGAGTGATACGAGTCACGCAAGCGCGAGCAGCATGAAGTTCCTGAAAGAGGTTTCAATCAGGATTTCTCTGTTTGTTTCTGTAAGTCAACTTTCAAAATTTGAACGGCAAAGATTCCTTGAATAGAGGCAACCGTTTCTGCTTTGTAACAAATTGATGTCTCAGCGGCTCCTGCGCATGCTCATTGCAGGGCTGAGCCCGGGCGTCTGTGCCCTGTCATCCTTGGCGCGGCCTCGAGTCGTGAAGACGAGGATGGGGGGGAGGGCTTATGATTTTAGGTATGCAAAGTGCAAAGGCCACATGGAAGAGAGTATTCTTTTCTGAGCTGTTTACCTGCGAAGTTGCCCGCAACGTCTTTCCTGAGATGCCGCAGGCTTCGGAAGTCCGTAGCGGATTGCGACGAGGAAGAGAGCCGGGCCAGGCCAGGCATATCTCGTAGGTGGATTGCACATGCTCCGATTGAAATTTGAAGACTTGAGACTGCTTACATCACTATTTGTAGTAGTGCATAGGAGTTCTGAAAGCTGCTCTGTACCTCACCTCTTTAAAAGCGCTTGACCTTGTAAATCAAATCTAAGCAAGAGCGAGGCCCTGCCTCCTCTACTTAGCAGTTCCTGTGTTGCTCAGGTTGGAGCGTGCCCTGGTCGCAGAGATCGAGTCGGCTTTGGCTGGGTGTTTGGGCAGCATTTCGCTTCCTGACCTGGCTCTGAATGGGCAAGAGATACAGAATGTCTATGCACCTCTGCGATGCCATTGCTGTCTTTTGGCTTGAGGCTCTTTACACAGTAGGCCTGCCGCACCCGGGCTCTGGGCCGTGCAAGGAACCACTCTGCTTTCGACGACTCGCGCCTTCAGAAGCTCGAGGAGGTGTGAGGGGTTACGGGAAGTATAACCAGCAGCCAAAGCCGGCCTGCGCGTCTTCAGACTGTCAGTGTTCGTGCTGTGGTGTTGACCAGTCCGGTCGCTGAGGACCTGCGGCCGCTTTATGCCACACTGCCGCACGAGTATCCTCTGGCCGACATTGAGGCGACGTTCTTGTAGCATGAAGTGGTTCTTGCGATTTCAGTTGCTTCGCACCTTTCATAAAGCCAGGATGCTGGATTTAGCTTTAAAGTTTGGAAGGCTTGCCTCTTTCCTGGTTCAGAACAAGAAAATTGGCCACACGGCAAAGCCACTCAAGCCAGCGTGACTGCGAGATGTCTTGGACGCCTCATCACCAGAGCTGTGTGTTCTGCTTTAGAGCATGGCTGGT